CTTATTTTTCTTAACTTGGATCTGACGTCAGACAATTGCCGAATAACAGCTCGAACATTCGAGAAGACCGAAGGCAATAAAAGGGAGAGCGGGCGGAGCCGAAACTCCAGTCGAGAAATAGTCGTCAAGAGCTCGCAACCGTCACATTCGGTCGAATTCCGCCCCGCGATTCTCGTTCTCTCGTTGTATGGCCTCGGCCTTCGTTATTACAGATAATTACACGTGTGATCAAATTTGAAATCTTGATTTATTCAAAGCCGCTACAACTCCTCTTCCCGCGACCCTCGCTCGTCGCTCGTTTTGTCCTTTCCGCACATTGTTTGGTCCTTCGAGCCGGATTTCTGCGTTCCGATACTGCCGCAGCTCCTCGCGGCGCGAAACCGGAAATCAGTGTAGTACTGTGCTGTGATCTGAAAGCGAAATGGAGCGGTTAATTGGGTTGCAGCATGAGTTATACGGGCGCATCTCGCGCACGTATGAAAACTTGAAGAAGTCGGGAGCGAGTAAAATTTCCTCCGCCTTGTACGGTCCCTTGTACGGTCATCCTTGGCAGTGCTTGAGGGCAAATGGGCAAAGGCGGAGGCACAGCATAAGATGCTGCAATCTGAGCACTGGGACAAGCTGCAGAAGCACGATTACTTCAAGGAGGATCTGATTGGCGACATCGAGACGATGTACATCGAGCAACGCGCCAAATTGTTGGAGATCGAGAAGTCATTAACTGCCTCGAGCTCATTCGACGAGAGCAAAGCGAAGGTCAAACCCGCCAGTCAGCGCAAAGTTTTCCCTCGTATACAGCTGCCGCAGTTTTCAGGGCGATTCGAGGACTGGCCGGCATTCCGGGACTTATTCCAGTCCATTGTCGCGCAGGAGACCTCCCTGTCGAAAGTGGAGAAACTACATTATCTAAAGACCTGCGTGAAAGATGATGCTGAGCAGCTCATTAGAAACATACCATCAACGGAAGCTAATTTCAATCGCGCATGGGCCGAACTAACCGACCACTTCGAGAACAAACGATTGTTGGTTCAGTCTTACCTCCGCTTCAGTCTTACCGCCGCCTTCACTGCACTGCCAAAAATGAAGTCAGACTCCGCGGCAGACCTCCGTCGAATATTTCATGGCGTGGTGTCCATCGTCGGAGCTATTGAGGGTATCAACCGACCTATAACCAACTGCTCAGATCTGTTCATCCATCTGGCTGTGGAACTGTTCGACTTCAAAACGCGACGTGATTGGGAAAATTCCCTCGGACGATCAGCAGTACCACCGTCGTACGAGGAGCTCAAGGACTTCCTTCAGGAGCAGGTAGTGACACAGGAGGTTCTTGAGGCTGCGAAGACCGATCGGGTGTCCGCCGGGAGATTCTCTACTCGCAACCACCACGCCAGGAAGCCAGGACAGGAGTTGAGCCGTTTGTGCCCAGTCTGTGAGCAGAACCACTTCATAATAGTATGTCCCCAGTACAAACAGAAATCCGCAGCAGAGAGACGAGACATCGTGATCGCTCATCGTCTGTGTTTGAATTGCGGCATCAGGCAAATGACTGCTCGTCTCAGCGTTGCTGCGTTAAATGCAACTCTCGCCACCACACCTCGCTCCACGAGGCGTTCGCAAACGCGAGTCCCGCTGCCGCCGTACACGTCGCAAAACCACCGCCAGTGGACTGCACGACAATCTTACTCGCGACCGCGCGCGTCCTCGTGTGCGACAACTTCGGTGTGCAACATTCCGTCCGCGCACTCATCGACTCCGGATCGGAAACCTCAATGGTCAGCGAGTCGCTGGCTCAGCGGCTCCGACTGCTCCGTACTCCGACGTCCGTCGCTATCTTCGGGATCGGTGGCCAACAGACTGGTGTGGCTCGCGGACGCGTCTCATTCACGTTCGCATTGCGCTCGGCTGCATTCCGCGTCAAGATTTCCGCGCTCGTATTCCCGCGACTGATGGCATATGGCGGTGACATCGGCCGGGCCTCGCGAGCGTGGCCACATCGGGAGGGCCTCGATCTGGCGGATCCTGAGTTCCTTGAGCGCGATCCCGTTGAGCTGCTGCTGGGAGCTGACGTCTTCGTGCACATCGCCTTACCAGATCTGCGTCGGAGGGGCCCGTCCGAACCTATCGCACAACAAACCCAATTAGGTTGGGTAATCCTCGGCGCCGCGGGCTCTGGCCAGTCCGCGTGCGTCACTTCTATGCAATGTTCTCCGAGTGATGACCTGTCCGCGCTCGTCCGCCGGTTCTGGGAGGAGGAAGAGTCGCCGCACGCGCCCGTGCCACTCTTCCAAGACGACCAGGAATGCAAGACGCACTTTGTGCAGACTCACTCCCGCGACTTCAGTGGTCGCTATCAGGTCCGGCTACCTGTGCGACCGGGCATCCCGGATCTCTCGGCAACGCGACACACCGCAGCACGAATGATCAGTGCAGTGCGGTGCCGCTTCTCTCGAGATCCTGCACTCCAGTCCAGGTATTGTGCCTTCATGCGTGAGTATCTCGAACTCGGGCATATGTCGACCGCGATCTCCCTCCAGGGGGCAACCCCTGAGCGAGTGTGCTACTTGCCTCATTACGGCATGATGAAGGATACAGGCGACTGCGCCAAAATACGGGTCGTCTTCAACGGCTCTTTGCGCACAAACTCCGGAACCTCCTTGAACAATTGGCTTCGCGCAGGTCCAAACTTGCTTCCTGCATTGTCGGACGTGCTCACTCGGTGGCGGCATCACCGCTTCGTACTCGCCACCGACATTGAAAAAATGTACCGGCAAATCTCGGTACACCCGGAGGACCGGGACCTCCAACGGATCCTGTGGGGCACGGAAGAGGTCACCGAGCATCAGCTCAACACAGTGACGTACGGACTTGCCTGCGCGCCGTTCTTGGCGATTCGAGTCCTGCGTCAACTGGCAGACGACGAGGGAGACAGATTCCCTCTGGGTGCTGTGCGTCGTGACACGTACGTGGACGACGTACTTTCGGGAGCGTCCACACTTCCGGAGGCACAGCGGTTGCGGGAGCAGCTGACGCAGCTGTGCACGGCGGGCGGCTTTCTGCTACGCAAGTGGTCTGCGAACCATGACCAAATACTCCAAGGCGTTCCAAGAGAGCACTGCAGCCAGGGGGCGACCAACACAATGCTGCCTTCTGCGGCCCAATCCATTCTCGGTCTGCGATGGGATCACGAGACCGACTGCTTCGCACCCACGGTGCGTACCATGCCACCAGGGGGTCGATCATGAAACTTTTTCCCTAATGTGAACTTGTGAAAAAGTGAAAATTTTCACAAAAATGAAAAGTTTCACGTATATTAATTTTAGTCGGTTATAATGGCTGCTGCTGCTTGGATTATTTTTGAGGATCAAGAAGAACCACAAAGAGAAGAAAATTCGGTAGTACGTATAATGCGTATAATTTTAAGGAATACTCAAGATCCATTTGATATTCCAGAAAAAAGGTTTCAAGAATTATACAGGTAATAATAATATTTTAATTATTAATAATATTACTACTGTAATGCTTATTAATCTTAGACTTTGTTATTTCTATATATGTAATGTATACATAATAATATAATGCTTATTATTATATTTAGAAAGCAAATATTTCTCTCTCTCTCTTTCTCTCTTTCATAAATAAAAAGTACGTATTGAATATATTTGTAGGTTATCTCGAGAGGCAGCAATGCGACTATGCCAAGATTTATTGCCCCTTATACCTGAAGGAAGGAGACAAACAGCAATACCGCGTGAATTAAAGGTAATATTTTTTTAATTAATTAATTTATCAACTAATTACATCAAGTTACTAAGTAATAACATAAAAACACAACACACACACACACACACATACATATGTATATATAACATACTGTTACACATTGTTGGTAGTTGCTTATTGGATATAAAATATATATTTTATTTTTTAAATACTATTTTGTATGTTACAAACTAGCAAATATAATAAGCATTATTTCTGAATAGATCTTTGCGACTTTGAGCATCTTGGCTTCAGGCTCTTATCAACGTCGCATCGGCCAAGATTTTTTGACCTGCATGTGCCAAGCATCAATATCTGCAGCAATTCACATTGTTGTAAAGGCACTTAATCAAATAATGAGGCATTGGATTAAATTTCCACAATTGCCTCATGAGCTTCAAGATGTTAAAGAGCAGTAAGTTAATTAATATTATATAACATATTAAAAAATAAAAATATATTGATATCACTATTATTCTTTTCAGATTTATGAATCATTGTGGATTTCCAGGTGTAATAGGCGCTATTGATGGTACTCATGTCGCTATTTGTCCTCCAGAAATAGAACGAGAACATTTATATATTAACAGAAAATTATACCATTCTTTAAATGTTTTGCTAGTAAGTATAATTAAGCAATAAATTATTGTTAACATAATAATTAAATTATTATCTTGCTATTACTTAATATTATCATATTTTTAATGTGTTCAATTATTTATATTTTAAGGTTTCTGACTATTATGGAAAAATATTAGCTGTAAATAGTGGACATGGAGGAAGAACACATGATACACGCGTTTGGAATGCTTCAATTATCTCGATACATTTAGAAGAGCAATATAATAATGAACGAAGAAATTGTTGGTTGTTAGGTATGTTACTTATAATGTTAATTTATTTATTTTAAGGATATTTAGTACGTACAATAGTAGCAAAAATTAGTTAAAGAACTTTGATTTTAACGAATATACTCTTCTCATATAGTTTGCGTAACAAGGATTGTGTAGAATGTTATTATTTATTCAGAACTAGAACGCAGAAATGCTTCTGTTGCTTTTTTTCAGAATTTTTGAATTCTATGGCCAAATCCAACCTAAAAATCCAAATTAAAATCCTTGTAACTTTGAATTGCTTCAGTGAATCGACTCTGGCTTTTGTCATAAGTCTTCGAACATATACCATATATAAGAATAATCTATAAAATTTTTGTTAAATTTCTATTAAAAATTATATAAATAGAATTTTTTAAATAATAGGAATTTAACAAAAATTTTACAGATTGTTCTTATATATGGTATATGTTCGAAGACTTATGACAAAAGCTAGAGTCGATTCACTGAAGCAATTCAAAGTTACAAGGATTTTAATTTAGATTTTTAGGTTGGATTTGGCCTTAGAATTCGAAAATTCTCAGAAAAAAAGCAACAGAAGCATTTCTGCGTTCTAATTCTGAATAAATAATAACATTCTACACAATCCTTATTACGCAAACTATATGAGAAGAGCATATTCGTCAAAATCAAAGTTTTTAAACTAATTTTTGCTACTAATTGTACGTACTAAACATTCTTAAGAACATATTTATTTTGTAATACATATAGATTTTATAATTAATAAAAGTTATATATATCAGGTCATCCGAAAAGTACTGAGAATTTTTGAGGCACTTAAACAAAAATGTATTGATACTGTTCCATCAAAATTAATCTAAAACGTTGTCTATTTTGGTCCATCACTTCTTACCATCTCTGGGCAAAGAAAAGATTTCGCGCTTGTAGAATGACTTAGACTTTCCCTCGAAGTATGCTGCAGCTAGGATTTTCAGAACTTTTTGGACGACCTAATATATTTATATACATTTAAAAAGTTTATTGTACAACTTTTCAGGAGATTCAGGGTATCCGCTGCTACCTTATTTAATGACACCAAAATTAGATCAACCTGAAGGATCACCTTCTGCTCGTTATACTGATGCTCACATAAGAGCACGCTCGAGTATTGAACGAACTATCGGAGTTTTGAAGGGACGATGGAGATGCCTGAGGAAGGAAAGAGGACTGCACTATTCACCAAATTTTTCTGATAAAAATTACATAATGACTACATTTCGTAAATTCAAGAATATGTATGTCTGATAATATAAAAATCCATATATTTAAAAATTTAAGAACAAATATAATTTTAGCACTTATAGTTAACGCTTGTTGCGTACTTCACAACGTGACCAAATTAGATCGGA